CTCTTAATTCTCCTTACAATATCAATACAATATCAAGCAGACAAGTGATGAGAATTAAGAAAAATATCAATTAGGGTATTGTTAGTTGATCTAAAAACCCAAATTCTCTGAACTTATATCATAAGAACTAAATAGCAGACAGTAAGGAGGATTACTAAAATGAGAACTTGGAAGTGAAAAGATTGAAAGAACACTAACAGCATCTAAACATTATTCAGGTATTTATTTTTTTAACTCATGAAACATGAAGAGATAAAATCACACTCAAGTACAAGAAAAATAAAATGATAAATTTGTTAAAGGGGTACTAGACTAAGTATTCCTGTCACTTACCTTACTGCAAATAAGGGAGCACCATATAATATAGCCAACCGCCGTTTCCTTAAGACCATCCAAGTAGAACTGTCCTGATGGATAGTAACAATTATAGAATCAATGAGAATTCTTCTGTCATATTTCAAAAATTGTATCAGATACACAACATACATTGTACATACTCCAAAAAAACTTGTATATTCATTAGCAAATATGTTGCAATTAAATCTTAATCTTTAGTTAAAACTTTTTGACATGGCGATTCTCACTTTCCTCTATCAACTGGATCTGATTACAAGTCAACTACAACATACACTACTGGTTGATTCAACTTACCCAGGCATTTGAACTTTGGAAGATTAGCTTGTTCAAATCCCCCCCCCCCCTTCTCATCCAGGCCAAAATTACTTTCAGATGCCCCACCAAATATTGAACGATTCTTTTTGTGATCAGTGAATGTTGTAGAATTTAGCAAAGTCCTGTATTAGTTTTTAGTCCTGGTGTTGGGTTTTTCGCTTGATTCTACAATGTGAAAATTGTCTTTCCTTGCCATTTGCTCACCAAAGCAGACTCTTTAAACTCCTCCATTAAAAAACACACGTAATACACTGGAAAGACTAGACACTTCTGGTTCCATGGCCCCACCCCACCCAGGCAAGGCTCAAATTCTCTGCACCCCAGGGAACAGACAACAAAGAAATACCCAATGGGTTGCCGGGGGGAGGGAGATTGTTCAAGCTTTAAATTGATCAGTGAATTACAATTTACTCTTTTTGTGATAAAATGAGACTACCACCTATAATAGGCGGGGATTTATTTTTACCAGTGAATATCTAAAACAAAGGATTATATTTACCTGGAAATATCCAAACAAAGGGTCATTAATGGCATTCCAAATAAGGAACACAATTTGAGCCACATTGAACCAGTAGTTTGAAATCCTAGGGAAAAAATTCATAAAACATTACAAATACAGAACAACCTATCTCATACCTTATGCACTTACAGTCCATTGGTTGCAATTGAGGGGGATAGAAAAATAAATTAAACAGTCAAATAAATTGGATGTTGCCATGTGTCTGTTCTGTGATAGATCACAGATCACATCACAATGTGGCACAAACAGAAAAGTAGCACCTGAGGTGCAGTTGATTGAGTCACTAATTAAAAGTTCTTTCCAAATTTTGATGTCTTTTGTAATATTTTAACTGTGCAGACCTGTGGCAACCTGGAATCTCTGTGTTTAATATGATAAAAAAGCAAAATATGGTAACATAATCCAGTACGACTATCGTCCAGGCTTTATTTTCACTATTGCGTAGTGTTCATGACTGTGAGGATAACTCTCATACTCATTCATTGATCTGCAGGGGTGTTACGAGAACTAAGACCCTCGAAAACAAAGACCTAAGACCCAAGACCCATTTTAGTTTTCAAGATTACGAAAACTAAGACCCCCTAAAATCGAATCCATTGAAATATAAAGTCAAATTGTAACCAAAATAGGTCTAATCTGTCAAATTATCCCCTTCTGATCCTTTCCACCAAGTTTTAAGCCAGATTTAACTGGAAATTTAGGGGTCTTAGTTTTTGTAATCTCGAAAACAAAGACCCCTCTTAGTTTTCGTAATTATGAAAATTAAGACCCTCTCCAAACCAGTCTGCAAAATGTCTACAAAGTTGAATTATGACCATGGACATTAAATTAAGAACCCACAGAAAGCTCATATTTGATCAATCAACCAAAAACACTGGTGTACTTGCAATAATTATGTGGTTTGCATGTTACGTCATTGCTGCCATGTTGGTGGACATAAGCAATACATATCTCATAGTTTCTTCAGTTGAGAAGGCGCTAACATCGACTTTATCTGTTTCCGAACAAAGGAGTAAATCACTGACACCAGAAATCGCAACCAGGTATTCCTTGCGACTCCCCAAGGTTTGTTTTCCAATTTGTCTTGGCCACTACTGATCACTTCTTGCATAAAAACTTACGAAACCTGTGAAGTGGAACTAGGGTGGCTACTGTTGCTTGCCGATGTTATCCGTCCGCAAAACGTAGAAGTCAGTAAATGTGACTGATTCCTCCAGGGAAATTTTATTGTCTGGAGGACTTGCAGGAGAGTTTTCTTGACAGCTGGATTACACCCCATGTTGTGAAACCATTTGTGAAGACATCACGTTTTTTCTTCGCTTTTTTTGTCACATTTCTTCGCTTTGTGATGTTACAGTAACACGGGAAATCTAACCGTATTTATTATCGAATATGAGCTTTCTGTGTGCTTTTAAGTTAATGTCTACATGCTATCCGCCAAAACCTAGCGCGCGAGCAGAAGTTATTTAGCACCGTCACAGGTAACGCAATCTCGATCGATCGCAGAGACACGTAGAAAAACACTGGAAAGCCAATTTTATGATTCAAAGGATAAACAACAAAATTAATGATCAATTAGGGTAAGGCATATTTTCAGTGCACAATTATACGTAGGTAGTGTATGGCTTTCATCGTCTGTATAAAGCCCCAATGCTGAAAATTATATGTCTGCAAATTGTTAGAAGAGGCGGATCGTCTAGCATGCGTACGATTGTAGTTATTGGTTGTTTTAAGGATTATAGTCTTTGAACGGTCGTAATTCGACTTTGTAGACATTTTAAAGACTGATTTGGTGGGGGTCTTAATTTTCGTAATTACGAAAACTAAGAGGGGTCTTAGTTCTCGAGATTACGAAAACTAAGACCCCTAAATTTACCGTTAAATTTGACCTAAAACTCGGAGGAAAGGATCGGACAGGAGATAATTTGACAGAGTAGACCTGTTTTGGTTACAATTTGACTTTATATTTCAACGGATTCGATTTTAGGGGGTCTTAGTTTTCGTAATCTCGAAAACTAAGAGGGGTCTTAGGTCTTAGGTCTTCGTTTTCGAGGGTCTTAGTTTTCGTAACACACCGATCTGCAGTTCAAATATTTGATGTTCAAAGCTGGTTCGGTAAGCTTCCTAAAGTAAGCTTGGTTTAAACTTAGGAAAATCGTAATACCAAAATTGCAACAATAAAAAACACAATCGAAAACAAAACTATAATAAAATCTGAAGAAGGCTTAATTGAACATGCTTTTTAACTAACTTGTAGACGTTGAGGAAAATTTTGACATAATAAAACATGAAGATGGAATTCATCATCGTAGCAGCCAGTGTTGTGGCAGAGTACGCCAGAGCGTTCTTGTTTAGCTCCATTCTTTGCACCGTTGGTGTTCAATTCTGACCGAAAATCAATGTAACTGAATCAAAGAAGATGATGAGTTAACAAGTACTCTTTCCAATGGTGGCCATTTTGTTTTTAACTGCGGGCGAGGACAGGTCAGCGGTTACCGAATTTGGGTATTTGTAAAGTAGCTAAAGAAGAGGAATTGTTCTTTGCAGGCAGAATGTATTCCGCGTGCACCTTTTTTCAGATGTGGAGCATTTTTTTTCCCATTTTCTTGCCATTGATGATCAGACAAAATCATCTGACATGGACATATTTTACAAGATAGTTGCAGCTTTAAAAGGCCATTTGGGGTGAACTGATTTTTCCTCTATCGCCTATTATCGTTGATTTGCACTTTATTCAGACACAGTATGTATGTAAAATTTCCATACGTTTTCCCAAACTGGCTTACGATTCACCTAAATTTGGTATTATTTTCGTTAATATTTTAAAAGATGCAGGCTTACAATTGACAAGATCAGTTATAGAATAACTTAGTAAGGAGCACTGTTATGTAAAACGATAAAACGAATAAATTTGAAAAAATAGTCTCATTAATTTCGGTGTTTTTTCGTACTTCCAAAATATTAAGAGAGCGCAAGCTTCAAAGTAGGGACGCACGCAAAATATAAAGCTTCAGACAATTAAATCTTACCGATTTGATAGTTAAGCACAATGAACAAACACGACGAAAAAAATATAAGGAATCACATAATTAACTTTTACCGGTCGGATAATTAATCACTTTGAACAAACTCGACGAAAAAGAGAAAGAACAAAAGAGCAGCATCTAAATTCTTCCTATTATTTACCTGCATTTTTTTGGAAGGAAGCAATCATTTTTGTACTGACAAATTTATTTTGGCAGGCGTTAACGTTTTTTCTTTTTTTTTTTTGAAGCGGTTGCTGGGTGGGGACATGTGGTAACAAACGGTTAAGTGATGATGCCCATATATATGTCCCGATCTGATCACAGCTTTGACGTTGACAAACTTGTAAGTTGTTAACAGCAATTCAATGAGACTCTTCATAAGCTCGATTGAATGACTGTCAACCAGTTATCTCCAGATTTGTTTTGCAAGCCATGGTTTACTCTGACCACACCCTCAGAATCTTTCTGATAGTTGCCGACTGACGGTGAACTGTAACCAGGCATCGTGAAAACAGCCTGACGTTTTGAGACTAGTAACTTGGAAAAATGATTGGACAACATTGTTGTAAGTACGCTTGAGTTTTTACGTTGTACGTTATCGCGTATATACGCTTGAATTTTTATGTTGTGCGTTACCTGATGTTTGATATTAGACACAAAAACGCGCATAGAAGTATTCGAGACCTGTTTCAAGACATTTCTAATATTCACCCTTATAATACCCGTTCCTCTGCTTCGCACAACTTCTACACACAAAGCTCTAGGCTCTCTATTCAATTGAATTCGTTTTCTAGAATTGGAACAAAAATTTGGAACGAGATGCCTCTTACATTAAGGAATCTCTCAAAATATGACTTAAAGAGAAAAATTAAAAGAGTACTTTTCAATATTCTGTCTTTGGAAGACTCCTATCTCGACATAAGAAACATCATTCAGAAGGTCAAATTTTCTTAAGGCTTTTAATGTATTTCTAGAATAACAAGTATAGCCTTAATTGTACTATCTTTGTATTTTTGTAGTATCTTTGTTTTTATACCTACTCTTTTTATTTAACTTCCTGATTTCTGTAAACCTGTATACTTATTCTCTCTAATTAATTTCCTTATTTCTGTAAACTTGTATACCAATTTTTTTTCTTAGTTA